TAGAAATACATACATCACACTACAGAAGGCCACTATATTAAATACATGCCATATTGTTAGGAAATTTCTGAATACAGACACACACACTGACACACTTATTTAATTTTAGTTTTGTTTTGGTTGCTATGCCTTGACTTTGGTCCGGCATAGTACACAGCCACCGGTGTTAAATAACCGAGTATAACTGACAAAACCCAACATAATAATAATAATATATTTTTCTGTCTCATATCACTTTCATGAAAATAACATAACATTCAAAGTAAAACAAAAAATGAAATATAAATCAAATCTGTAACACATTCATTCATCAGCAACTAATTTATTTTTTTGTTTTTTTTTTCAATATGAAAAAACATTGAAAAATAAAATGTTTTTCATAATATATACTAGTTTGAATTTAATTTTTTAAAATCTGTTTGTAATTGTATTTATGTATATATTTATATTTAAATAGGTTGGTTGGTTTTGTTTNCTCTTTTGTTGATTGGTGTAGAGTGAAGATTACTGGTGGTAAAGGAGGTGATGGCTGTATATCTTTTCTTCATTTATGGTGCAATTCTAATGCAGGTCCTGATGGAGGAGATGGAGGAAATGGTGGACATGTAATTTTTGAAGGTAGAAAATATCTTTTAGTCAAATGTTGTTTGGAAATTTTATCTAACAATATAATTAAATATTTAATTTACAGCATTATAAAATGTTTTTCCTTTTTAAAGCAAATTGTTTCAAATTCTTTACACACACAATAATAAGTTAAATGTAAGATTTTAATAGTAAAATAAAATCTACAGACTGGAACTGAATGAGATTCTATAAACTTTCCAGCTTAAGCAGGTTATCTGTCATAGTAGGCTGCAATAAAATCATCATTCTTCAAAATGTGTTTTACCAAGTTTCTGTCTAGACATGGTATTTGCAATATTACTAGAATGACTTCAAAATAAAAGGAAAAGAGTGTAGAAAACAAAATATACATTTATTTATATGATATATTCTCAATAAAAAAAATCAAGAGTGTATTTTAAGTATATATTCTTGAATTTTTACTAAGTATTCATATATTCTTACTAAGTAAAGCTTCTCACTGAAAATGTAATTCAAGCTTTATACTATCAAGCTCTCTCAGCATTGTCTTAGTCATAATTAATGGTATAGTAGTCAAAATTTTCAATAGTATGTTCTTTCTAAACTGTATCAATTTATCAGGATAGTAAGTAGACCACTCTTACTGCTGTTTTAGAATCAAAACGGGCTTATGCCAAGAATACACAGATGTAAAATACAAAATAAATAAGGACTGAAAAAGAAAACATAACCAATATTTTTTGAAGTTTGAATACAAAGTTGAGTAGAGCAAGTTTCTTTTTTCTACACACTGAAATTTTTTTTATCAAAGTATAGCCAATAGAAGTCTCTCACAATGATAATCACTCTGATCATGATTCTCATTTTGATTTAAAAAATTACAGATACTCTAGAGATATCGGACCTCCTCGTCCTCCCTCAACTGCGGTTTTGTCAGGGCATGTGCAATCCATTTGCATGCAGTCGTAAAAGGTAATAAGAAATATAGACAAAGGGCCATAAAAAGGAAGGGAGTAAAGGTGGGAAAAGCACACTCAGAGTAGATGAGAGGACAGTAGAGAGAGGGAGAGTGGTGAAGTCCGAAAGTGGGATTAAAGATTAGTTTTTTTATGTTAGGATATTTGGTTGTTCCAGTTCTGTGTGATGAACTGATGGGATGGAATCCCTTAGATCAGATCTGATTTTCTACAGATACTTTTTTCTAGCTAGATTGCTTGTAGAAAATAAAAATATTTAAGCTACCTTAAGTTAATTTTTAAATAAACCATACTATTATATTAAAACTAATTATTGTATTATCAACTTCTTTAGAAACATTTATTTTTATCCAAAAAAAAAAAAAAATGCATTTTGTTTAATACAGTTAAAAATAATTTATAATTTCCAGAATTAAAAAGTGTCTAAAGTATTTGTTTTTTAAATCAATTTTCAGCTAAATCAAATGTTAAAAGTTTAAAAACTGTGAATTCACTATATCGAGGAATACCAGGAGAGAAAGGAAGATCCTGTCATATGCATGGTGCAAATGCAGATCATACAATAATTGAAGTAATAAATGAATTTATATTTTTTAAAATATAATTTTAATCATTAATGTTCATAACTGTCACATTTGAAGAGAATGGGAATATATTTGAGTATTTTTGTTTTAATGTTTTTGTTACATATAAACCCAAAGAAAAAATAGTTGCCTATATTTTAGGGTTTTTTTATATAAAATAAAAATCATTATAACTTTTAAATTAATAAATAGCTAAATTTGTTATTTCGTTTTTCTTTCCAAATGTGCTTTATTAAAAAATTAATTTGAATGATAATGAATTTTTTAACATCTGTTTCTCATAATTTAAGACTGTCTTTATAACAGTTACTTTGAAAATTAAAATAATATTTGTTTTAAATGTTGCCAGGAAAGTTAAGCAACATGTTACTGGATTTTTACTTTCCTGGCTGTTATATGTAACAGAGGGAAAGTATGGCAATTGCTCAAAAATGACCCCCCTCAGATTTTTGCATTTTTAGGCTTGAAGAAAATGCAAAAAATTTGGAGGGTTTTTCTGTATGTATGGATGTTTGTGTGTGTGTGTTTGTGTGCTTGCACGCACAATTTTGTTCACCCTATTTGAAGCTTAATAACACCTGTACTTTTTGTCAAAAATTTCTGACATTTTTCAGGAAGGTTTGTTTATTATGGGAATACTGTAGATGCTGTTAAATTTTGGTGATTAAAGGTTGAGAGGGTGAAAAGATAGAGGTGGTCATGTGTATCTGTCTCCACTATGGTCAGACTTAATGACAATTTTACTTGTTATTAGCTAAATATTTATAACTTTTTATAAAACCAATCGCTACCCTCAAAATTAAACTTTTTGCCATTTTATAATAGTTAAAAATATAAAAAGTTTTCTTTAATAAAATATCATAAGAGATTGTGCCACCAAATGTTGCCAAGAAAATTAACCTTCCAATGGTGCATTGACTGCGAACAGACCAGCATTGACTGTAATCCACATTGATCAGAACCACATATATTGAGGAATATCTGTATGTTGAGTTAGTATTTTGAATTCCTTGTATGCAGAGATGTTTTAATGCTTAGAAAAAGTAGGCTTGTACAATACCTGTGGTGAAAAATTTTTCAGGTAACATAATTACATGATCACAAAATGATTTACAGATTAAACATTATATAACTAAAACTATGTATATACTAGCTGTTGCCCACAACTTTGCCCGCAGGGGTTTTGCAAGTAAAAATCTCATTTATATTTAGTATTTCAACAATCATAGTAATTGTTATATAACATCTACTGCTGAAAATCAAGTGAACTATTTTCAATTTGATCAATTTTCTGGAACGTTTACATAATCATTCTGTAGTCGAACCAATATTCAATAACAAATTTGAATTTAAAATGGTTCAAACATTTGGTTAAAAAATCAAAATATATAAAAATATTTATAACAATGTCTGAAATGTTATCAGTTTAATACACCTCAATGAAGACTAAACGTAGTTGAAAACAAAAAGTACTCAATGAAGACTAAACGTAGTTGAAAACAAAAAATCGCATCTAAAATAGTACAGTAGAAGCCATTCTTCAGGTTAAGCCTTAATCCTCTCTCTCTCTCTCCCTGTGGAGGGAATTTCCAAAAATCCCTTCTTAGTGTGCGTTCTCATGGCATACCCTACTAAAACATAATTGAAAACAAAAAATCACATCTAAAATAGTATAGTAGAAGCCATTCTTCAAGTTAAGCATTAATCCTCTCCCCCTCCACGAGGGGAATTTCCAAAAATTCCTTCTTAGTGTGTGTTTTCATGACGTATTGTAACTGTGTACCAAATTTCACCTCTAGGTTCAGTGGTTTGCTCTAGGCAATGACGAATCAGTCAATCTCTCACTCAGTAAGTCAGTCAGGACAAGTAATTTTATATATTTAGATAATAAGCAAAATTATATGCAACAATAATAATTTAATTGTTATATATAAAAATTTCTAAATGTAATAGTAAAACCAGTAGCATTATATATTAGTTTACCATAAAAATATTCAATGAAAAACACCAATAGTGCTGCTATGCATTTATAGTGCACAAATTTTAATGAAATGTTAATGATAATGTGGATGCAATTAAAATTTTTTATTAAATTTTACTAAAATAAATACTCAGACTTTTAAAATCTAACAGGACAGAGAGTTTTATGGGATGAAATTTTCATTATCAAAAAGATCACTGATTTTGCATTCACCAAATACTGTTGAAACTTTGGGACTCAAAGTAGTTGCATAAGCCATAGGAATGCATACACTTTGCACATTTTATAAGTAATGATCTACTTAATCATTAATTGCATGTTCCCATATATTCATCAAATTCTAATATACAGGTATCCCTCATATAACACGGCACTTCTACAACATGGTTTCACTCTAACACAGTTTTGAAAATTCTCTATACAAAATTTCACAATTTTTAAGTGTAAACTTTGTTATTCGATATTTGTTTTTTTCAAGTAAGCATGCATATTGTCTCAAATTTGCCCAAGGATTTTAGAATATTGAAATTTTCAAATTATTTTGTGCATTTCATCAGGTTTACTTTAATGAAAGCCAGTGGTGCAATTTTTTTTCATTGTTCTATCTTTCGTATCAACCAGGTATTTTTGTTGCTAAACTTTAGCCCTTAAGACTGTCAGTGTTTTATTTTTATAGATTATTGTATAAGTTTCTTTGTATTTAGTAAAGTTTATTTAAACATTTTTAGGTAAGTGTTATTAAATTTTTTTTAACTGTAGGTAAGCAATCATTTTTAAAATGACAAACGAAATATGGCAGTATCTCAGTACTCAATCTGGTATTCAAACAAAAATTGTGGAAAAATGTCACTCGGTACTCAATTGAATAAATTTGATCCTCTAGAACAAATTTTTGATTAATAACACTTTTATTTCGTATAAAACTATGTTATTAATTGAAAAAATAAAAAATATGAAATTGCTGCTGATACTTCTGATCAGGATCAACAAAAAAGCTGAGATGATGATGATACTTTGTAAACAGAAAACACCCTTGTTTAACTAAAATTAATATTAACTTAATATTATAGTACTTTTAATTATGATTTAATTAATTATTAATTGGAAATAAATCAATTGCTTTAATAAACATATTTCTCTTAGGAATGAAAAAGAATAGTATACTTCTGTTAATTGTTAGAACCTAACACTATGTTTTGCATTAGTCCTTTGTTTCGTAAAGCATGGATTTGCATAACACAGCACTTTTTTGGAATATATCTACTGTATTATATGAGGGATACCTGTATTTAGGTTCAAGTATATAAGTATATTTGAACCTGATGATATCTACTATTGTAGCTTAAAATATTTTATTAAAAATTGATGATGAATTTTAAAGGTTTATGTTATTTTATACTTATTATTTTATCCAGTTACATATGTTTGTATACATATACAAAATCATTATTACAGCCTAAATTGCTGTGTAGCAAAATAATTAAAAAATTCTGCTAATTGATTTGAGTGTAACCTATTATTCATGTAATTGTAATATTATGTTGATAAATTTAGAATTTAAATGTAATAGGAAAATATTTCTGTTATCAATATAATCTAATGTAGCATTCACTATTAAATAAATTTAATACTTAATTAATAAAATTATATTTATTTTAGGTTCCAGTTGGTACAACAGTATTAGATGAAAATGGTAACATTGTAGTTGATCTTGATTCTGATAATAATAGATTTATAGCAGCAAGAGGTGGAGCTGGTGGTAAAGGAAACAGTTTTTTTCTCTCCAATGAAAATCGACATCCACGAATAGCAGAATTAGGTGCTGAAGGAGAATCCAAGATTTATTCACTTGAGTTAAAATTGTTAGCTCATGCAGGTTTGGTAAATATTAATTAATCATATTTAAAGTAGTTTAGACTTCTTCATTTACAGTATTAATGACTTTAAATTTTATCTCAAGTATATCAAACTAACTGAAACTTTTTGAGTAAATGAAATCAAATACAGTAGAGCGTCATTTATCCGAATCAATTGGGGACTGGGGTTGTTCGGATAACTTATTTTTTGGATAACCGATTATGTACTAAAAGGTAGTTTAACGTATCCAATGTTGAAATTTTTCTCCGTTGCATGTCACTTTGCATTGAATTTTTGTCGATGTTAAGCCTAACAATTTTTTTTTAATAATAATCGTCGCTGTCGTATCATTAAAAATTATTTTTAAATTATTTTATTGCTCACAAAACAAACAACCACTCATAATTAGAAAATTAAGTCTCGTGTAAATACTGGCCGCCCTTTAATGGTCGAGCCATGTTGCCAGCTAAAGCATGCAAAAATTTAAGAAAAATAATATTAAAGTAGCCAAGACATAGCCAAATATTGTAGTGCCACATCACTAACGGACATTTGAAATTTGCCAACTAGAACGGTCGATTAACCGATGTGACGGTTAATCGGGGGGTCGGATAATCGATGCTCTACTGTACTTACAAAATGGCTGACTTCTTTGTAATGTTTATTTTATAAATAGTCTATATAAATAAAAATGTAAATGTTCATTTGTTCAAAATCTTAAATCTCCGAAACTTCTTCACCGATTGCTTTGAAATTTTGAAACAATGTTGCATTCAAATATACGCATGTTTTTATTTTATATAGATGTCAAAATTTCCCCCTTGGGGGAGAGGGACAAAATTAAAGCTTACTTTAAAGAGCTGGGCTTCTATTATACTATTTTAGATGCAGTTTTTTGCATTTTTGATTTCATTTTAATAGGGTACATCAAGAGAATGTACACTAAGAAGTGATTTTTCAAAATTCCCCCTGCGGGGAGTGTTATACATTTATAATAGATACATTTTGAGCCACAGCAATGCATGGCCAGATACAGCTAGTAAGTTAATAAATTCACAACTTTCTCTTTATTCTTAACTATGAGGTTCTGCAACAAATTACATCTTACAACATATATTTCTTAATTTGTACAGGTAGCTCTCGGTTNGTTAAATAAAAATGTAAATGTTCATTTGTTCAAAATCTTAAATCTCCGAAACTTCTTCACCGATTGCTTTGAAATTTTGAAACAATGTTGCATTCAAATATACGCATGTTTTTATTTTATATAGATGTCAAAATTTCCCCCTTGGGGGAGAGGGACAAAATTAAAGCTTACTTTAAAGAGCTGGGCTTCTATTATACTATTTTAGATGCAGTTTTTTGCATTTTTGATTTCATTTTAATAGGGTACATCAAGAGAATGTACACTAAGAAGTGATTTTTCAAAATTCCCCCTGCGGGGAGTGTTATACATTTATAATAGATACATTTTGAGCCACAGCAATGCATGGCCAGATACAGCTAGTAAGTTAATAAATTCACAACTTTCTCTTTATTCTTAACTATGAGGTTCTGCAACAAATTACATCTTACAACATATATTTCTTAATTTGTACAGGTAGCTCTCGGTTTACACCGCAGTTCCGTTCCTACAAAAGCTGGTACAAATCGAATCGGCTTAAAACGAACCCATATTTATAGTGAGGTATAGGGTTAGGTTCTACATAAGTGAAAAATAAGCAAATAATTTTGTTTATTAATACAATATAATAAAAAATACATATAAAATTTTAATTTTTAAAATGTATTTTATCATAAAATAAAGTGAAATGTTTTTTAAGGATGCACCGATTAATCAGTAAGTAATCGATAATTGGCCGTATCGGCCATTCCCCCCGATTAATCGGTTTTGATAATCGGCCAATTTTACATTTTGGTATTTTTGTTAGAATGTTATGTACAATGCTAGTAATAAAAACTAATAAATTTCTGTTATATATTTATTATTTATTACATGACAATCTGAATATTAAAAAAATTTTACTAATCAAATTATTCCTTTTATCGATACATATTATAAGTATAATATAACGTATAATATAAAGTTTAAACTTTACATAAGAAAAAGTATTGAATAGGTTAAGAAGAAAAATTAAATTTTTATTTGTTTTATAAGTTTAAAGTTTAAACATATAAAACAAATAAAAATTTAATATTTAAACTGTAAAACCCTTAAATTGCAATGCAAAAACATGAGAATTTCATCATTTTCAGGGCATAACCTATTTTTTGCCGGCTCATAAATGTTACCTCCAGTGCTGAAAATTTTTTCACTTTCAATGGAAGATGCTGGGGCACTTAAATATTTCATAGCTATTTTGCTCAAATTAGGAAAAAGTTCTTTTGAACTTTTCCACCACAAAAATATGTCACTATGTCTTTGTTTAAGGGATAAATGTAAATATGTTTCTAATTCTTGATCGAAACGTTTGTTCGTCTCGTTTTTTCTTTCTTTTTAAAAACATGCTATTCTTCATTCTTTTGTTTACCAGAAGCTAATTCATCAAATAAATCAGAAAAACTTAGAAATTCACCTCCATCTTGATCACCTCCAGAAGTAGAAGCTTCAGAATTTAATTCTTATTGAGATTTCCTCTACCATATTTTATTTTTGAAATTTCATTTTGAATCTAATAAAAATGACAAGCATAAAGACTTGTTTTCTATATATGCTGAAAATCTTTTTTTTTTGGATTTTCTAGTTCTTCTGTTGTGGTATTAATGCCACTAAAGGAACTACTGATCTTTGCTTTTGATAAGAATAATTTCAGAGTCTCTATTGTGGGAATTATTGAAGATGAAGTGGCTTCTCGTTTGCTGGCTTTCCACAGTAATTTCTTTGAATGGTTTTACAAGTAGAACAATTTTTTCAACGAGAGACCACTGATATGGGCTCAACGTAGGAATTTTATTATCTATAGCATATGTGACAAGGGCCTTTTGCTGTTCCAACATGTAGTATGTAGAATTCCAGCGAGTAGGAACATCTTGAATTAATTTGTGTTTCTGCAAACCTAACTTTTCTTGCAAATCTTCTAATTTGATTACAGCTACAGCAGAATGATTAAAATGTGTGACAATATTTCTATTAACTGTGATTATAGTTTTCACATCTTGTTTAGAAAGTATGCATTTGTTTAGTGTCAGCTGCAGCGTATGATAATGCTTCTAAGTTGCAATTCTTAATTCCAGCTATCAGATTTGCTGCAGAATCTCTTAGTACTAAGAATATCTTATCACTTGTCAATTTATACTGTTCAAGAACAATTTTTAACTGTTCACTGATTCGTATAGCTGTGTGGGAACCTTCAAAGGAAACAATTTGCAAAACAGCTCTTTCCTGCTGAAAATCATCCTTCAACCAGTGAGCTGTTACACTTAAAAAAGGAGAATTGTTTGTAGTTGCTATCCAAATATTAGCGGTTAAAGAAATATATTTTTCATTGCATAAAATTATCAAATTGTTTCTTTTAAATCATCAAATAATGTCAGATTTTTTTTGCATTAGTAATGGGGGTCATGCTGCCTGTTCAAAATTTGCAATTTGTAAAAATTATATTTATCTGGCTACTGCTTTTAACATCTAGCAATTGGAATGGCAAATAGCCAAAGAGCAGTCCAGAAAATAAAAAGTCACTCAGTCACTTAAAAAATAAAAAACAGTTCAGCTTTTTAAACAATATCAAAGTTTCCATGCGTCAACAATTAAGTGTTGAGATTTATTTTAGAAACAAAGGAAGAGATTGTTGATTTTGCAAGGATATTCGATTGTCTCTTGTTTACCTGACCCGAGGGAGATGGAAATACCAGGTGGAGAAAAATGGTTTTTTTCCACATTATAATTAACTGTATAATTAACTCCAGGATCTCACATTATTAATGCAATAAATTATTAACACTAATCAGCTGATTAATCGGTATCGGCCGATAATGCATGGCCGATTAATCGGTAATCGGCCATTTTGCTTATCGGTGCATCCTTAATGTTTTTATTAAAAAATTTTAGTTTTGGATCTCTTACATTTTTTCGGAAAAAGTATCCATCTTTAATTGTTTATATTTTTGTTTTCTTTCATTGAGAATTTCGGAATATGGTCGAATGGATGCGATGATGCTTCTTTTTACATTTGCACTTCGCTCCCAATCATTGTCTAACTCACAAAGTTCATCCGTCAAACTTTCCATAGTTGAAAGGATATGTTAACCCGACGTACAGCTACGGACAAGCGGAGACACTGATTGGTCTACCACCAGTCGCCGTAGCGCATGTATAAGGTCAGTTTGAGCGGGAAAATTCAAGGTGGCTAAGGAGAGATAGATATCGTCTGGCTAATAAAAAAGTATCGTCTGGCCAATGAGAAGTAGATTTGTCTCACTAACGATACTTTGTGATCGCCGGAAGTGCTACTGCGCCATAAGGTGTTTTCCTAAACAAACTGATACGGGATACATTCATTAGCACTATGGATTTGGAAGCCATTTATTGGACTATTAAGTTTGATAACTTGACTCTTGGGTACCTAAACATTTAGTGTTTTAATATTAATTTAATGCAAATGTATACATACCCAATAATATTAAACAGAAAAACTAAATATATTCAATAAAAATCTTTGTTTTAACGAATGTATAATGTCATGGCTCGGTAAATACATCAACACTGAAATGAAGATCAGTCTGGCATAGGGAAAATTGGGGAATTACACCGTGAAACAGCAAATTGCATAGTGGCGTTATTGTGAATCGGTGTAAATTGAGCCGGCGTAAACCGAGGGCTATCTGTATTTCAAATATCTGTTTTGAAATCAGAAATTCACTTATAAATGGACATAATATTAAAGAGTAATAGCAAAATGGCAATTACAATATACTGAAAATGTATTTAAATTTCAGTTTTGCCCATTAATAGACATTCTGTAATTTAACTTAAGTCTAGTAGCAATACAAATTACATAATAAATAAATTAATTAACAATGTTATACAGGAGTCATGCTTTTTTTTTTTTTTTTTTTAATAGTAATCACCAACTCATTTGCCAAAATAGAAAGTTATTTGCCAAGTTACTTTTTCACTTATTGTGACTTATTGTACCAACCTGAAATGAAAAGACAACTGACAATATAAAAAAATTTAGTTTTTATGACTGAATTTCTCAAGCAACTTTATTTTGTTTATTAATAATAAAATTGTATTGGACCAAGACCTATTCATATTCTGTGACACTTTTTTTTGCTGAGTGACTTTTTATTTTCTGGACTGCTCTTTGGCTATTTGCCATTCCAATTGCTAGATGTTAAAAGCAGTAGCCAGATAAATATAATTTTTACAAATTGCAAATTTTGAACAGGCAGCATGACCCCCATTACTAATGCAAAAAAAATCTGACATTATTTGATGATTTAAAAGAAACAATTTGATAATTTTATGCAATCAAACTATTATTTTTTATAAATGCTTTCAACTGCTTAATAGTCATCTTCAACTAACCATGAATATAGAAGAATGATGTAGAAAACAGATTTGAATTTAAAGCTGGTTTTGTTAAATTTAGAATAGAACATGAAATGAATAAAATTGAAATATAAAAAATAATATTGGAAATTAAAACTGTAAAAGTTAAATTGAATAAAATTAATAAAAAAAACTGAAATTAACTAATTAATTATTTAAATTCTGGAAAGTTTTATTTATCAGTGTAGAGACTATCATACAGTAATGAAACAAAATTTAGGGAAAAAGAAAAATATGTAGAAGATTTATTCCTCATTTATTAACACTAGAGCAGAAATATGAACAAATTGCTTCATGTTAGGATTTTCTTTTTGTGGCAGAAAGCGATGAATGTTTCTTCAGGAAAATTATTATGGATAATGAGACAGTGATTTATTTATGATCCTGCACAAAATGTATAGAATTTATGAAAAAGTTTGATTAAAATCCATAAAATTGTAGTTTTAGAAATCTCAAATTAAAATTTTGTTCTTCATTTTTTTCAAAACAAAAGAAATTATCCTCTGAGACTAACTTTCAGTTAGTGCAGAATAATACAGGAATTTTTTTGAACAGTTGCTAAAGAAAGTGAACTAATGAGATTGGCTGTGTTGGTTCCAATGATTGTTCTTGCTGCATGGTAACACTACAATTGTAAAGCAAATTTTCAGAAAGAAATGTTGCTGTTTTTCATCATCCATTCTTTTCAATAGATCTCTCTTCCTCAAACTAAAATTTTGCTTAAAAGAGTAGCCTTTCCAAACTAACTTATGACAGCAATTTAATATTGTTACAGCAGAGATTAACAGCATTTAAAACATATATATCTGGAAGGTTTTAACAAATTTTACAGATTGCAAACACATATGAGTCAAGAAAGGATATATTAAAGGTTAAAGCTAATAAATTATCTTGATATTTACATGTATAACAAGTCAATGCATTTCAGAATTAAACTATTTAATAAAGTGAAATGAAATTTTCACTTTATTAAAAATAATATTTTGAAGAATATTTAATAATATTTTTTTTTACCTTAACAAAAAAACTGTAGTTTATGAAAATGCTTAACTATATAACTAAAATAAATATCTTTTTATCCTAATAGGTTGGATTTCCTAATGCTGGAAAGTCAACTTTACTTCAAGCAATTTCTAGAGCACGACCAAAAGTTGCTTCTTATCCATTTACCACTCTCAATCCACATATTGGTATTATCCATTATGATGACTATGAACAGTTAGCAGGTATAATATTTTGTTCAGTATAGATTAGAATTCTTTGCTGATTAATCATTTTTACATACAAATGATTTTATGTTATAATTTTATCTTTCTAAATTATATGGAAAAAAAATTCTGTTTTTTATACTTCATATCATATTTGTATTAATTCTTCTATGTTTAGATACAAGCATCACTATATAATTCAATAGAATAAATTAAAAATTTGTTTTGTTGAGTTAACAAAATAATAATAATCAGTTGACATTTATTATTACACATTAAGTTGTTTGAATTGTCTAAAATACAGTAGAGCATTGATTATCCGAAACAATCCGGAACTGGGGTTAATTTAATTAATATGCCTTTTTGTTTTTTTTTTTTTATAACTCTATTTAAAATTTATTTTGTATTACAAGTACAATCTATATATTAACAGGACTTATTATACTGGAATTGTGGATGCAGATATTTAGTCTTACAGTTCAAAAATAATGTTCTTTATTTAGTTCACCTGGTGAACTAAATAAAGAACATTATTTTTGTTAGTTCACCTGGTGAACTAAATAAAGAACATTATTTTTGAACTGTAAGACTAAATATCTGCATCCATAATTCCAGTATAATAAGTCCTGTTAATATATAGATTGTACTTGTAATACAAATAAGTTTTAAATAGAGTAACAGAACTGGGGTTGTTCGGATAACCGATTTTTCAGATAATTGATCATTTACAAAAAAATATATTAAACACAACACTGTACTGTATATAATTTGTATCACACGTCTTACAATATTACATACCTTACATAATGTAATACATTAAACTAGGCCTACTGTTCAGTTTGGGAGGGGAAGAGTGCTGGAACACTTTTGGTTAACCAATGTTTTGGTTGAATGGTATTCGATAATCAATGCTCTACTGTAGTATTATTATAATTTTAGAATTATAGTGGCAAACATGAAAATTAAAGAGAAAGCTGCAAGAAATTACTGTATCGGTCTGTATATTAGTTTGTTTTTTTCCAGTTTTAAAGAGAGAAAAAAATTGTTCTTGATGTATATTTGAGTTTCAATTTATATTCAAGTTTGATTGGTTTTCTTTGACTTTGATAATTTTTTGGTACACATCATACATAGTTAAACTAATGCTAAAATTTGTTGTGTTGATTGTTTAGCAATGCTAAACACTAGACAAGTTATGATCTGTTATGCTGCAGTCCATAAACTATGCTTGGGAATTAAGTGATTGGCCCAATTGTAAATAATTGATTAGTTAATTGTTCAAAAACAATTGACTAAACTAAACCAATTATTTTCATCCCATTCAACAGAATCAATCAGTTTTGCAGGCTTCTACAGAAATTTTATTTTGGTCATATTTTTATTTTACACTTAGGAATCTACTAATTGAATAGTCATCAAAAATTGAGGAAAGATTGCCAAAAATTTACAGTGAGATTTATTCTGTGATAAATTATAAATTTCTATTGTAATTATAAATTTATGTATTTGATATGATTATCCATACACTTTAGACTTTTTTAAGTTTTGTCTTTGACTAACTTTGTGTCAAAAACAAAAATCAACAAAATTTTTTTCTTTGTACTAAATTCAGCTCTCACATATTTGTTGCTTCTACACTTATCAATGGGTCATTTCATATTTATCAAGTTGGCATCACTTTTGATGTTAGATAAAAAATTTTTTTATTTTAGTTTATATTTTTATTATATTTATTTTATTTATATA